AAAAAAAAAAAAAAAAAAGATATCTCTTCTTTCCTAAATATATCAATAGTTAATGAAAGCACAGTTCATTAAACAAGACTGAAGCTGAGGTTGTTACCCTGTGAGTTAAAAAGCATCGCCAGTCTGTAAATTCTCTTTAGTTCCCAAAGAAAGCATGCATGAGACACATGCAAAACATAAATGTAACAAAAGCGAAACTGTAAAATGTAATAAAAGCGACTTACAAAAACAACTTAACTGCTCTTAGTCATGTTTCCATAAACTCAGGGTCAGTTGTCTTTATTTTCCACTTTTTTTTTCTTTTATTTAGAGACAGAGACTCACTTTGTCACCCTCGGTAGAGTGCCATGGTGTCACAGCTCACAGCAACCTCCAACTCCTGGGCTTAGGCAATTCTATTGCCTCAGCCTCCCAAGTAGCTGGGACTACACACAACTACACCAATGTCTGGCTATTTTTTGTTGCAGTTTGGCCGTGGCTGGGTTTGAACCCACCACCCTTGGTGTATGGTGCTGGCACCCTACTCACTGAGCCACAGGCACTGCCCCAATGGTCAGTATTTTTAAAACAAAGAAATAATTAGCTTTCTATAATAATATTTCTTTGTTCTCAAATTACAGAAAAAAATTATTTCTAGACTTAACACAAATATCCTATTATTTAAAACATAAAATTTTATTTTTGCTGGTTAGTCTCATTTGCAGAACCAATTTGAAGAGAAAGTTATCTAGTAATGCTAAAATGTTTTTCCATGGTAAACTGTTTAAAATCATATCCTCAAAAACATAAGCTCTTACTTGAAGACATCTTTAACTAAATTAGTGAATTCTAAGTTCTATTAAAAGATTAATGGTCTCCTTTTTTCAATTTAAAATTCTATAAAATAGGTCACTTAAATACCACCTTTATTGGGCAGCACCTGTGGCTCAAAGGAGTAGAGTGCCGTCCCCATATGCCGGAGGTGGCAGGTTCAAACCCAGCCCCAGCCAAAAAAAAAAAAAAAAAA